AAGATGCACAGCTAATAATCCCTTGATTTGAGTCAATTCTGGCAGATTGCAAAAAGGCTGAATTTGAATCTTCAGCCTTACAAGCAGGGTTTATATGTGCAATTTCCTTAACCTTCCCTATCTGCCAGAATAGGGCCAACCCTTGGTAGGATCACTGTGAGGACTCAGTGAGTATGGAAACAGCTTCTCACAAGACCTCCTCTCTGTTACAGAGCTGCGAGGAAGTGGATGACCAAAATCAGGCATAAAGAAGGCAGGCCCTGGTCCCCCAAACTCCTCGCTCTGACAAAGGGAAAAGCCTAGGGATTCCGGAAGCCCTGACTTTGACAGGAATGAGTTTTGGGTTTTCCAGAGCTCTAATTATCAGCTAGATGAGTCACTTGAAGCTGACACCACCATCCCCACCCCCAGGAGACTAGCGCAGCTGATTCAAAAGAAAGGATTTTAACAAAGGAGAGGAGGAGGAAGAGAAAGAGGTAGTAGAAGACGTAATGAATAGAAATGAAAGGTGCCAGTCAGAGGAAATGAAAAACTGTCACCAAGACACCAATAGGAAGAGACCACTCACACACACACACACACACACACACACACACACACAGACGAATTCTCCTGCTGGCTCTCCAACTCTGGGCATACGGCACATAACGCTGCCATAACAAAGTGACGCCTGTCACAACAGCATGAGATGGTTGCTTGACAAGGTACAGGCAGATCTGCCTCTCACATAAGGAGAGGACACCTTCAACCCGGAGGAGCTCCCTCAGGCTTCTGAAAGTCAGCAAACCCTACTAACTGGCTTCTGATTTCTGACTTCTGATTTCTCTTTGGGTCTAAACCCCAAGGCCTTGATATAGCGAGTTTTGAGTGCCAGGCGCACATTGTGGGGGGCTGAGTACCACCACTGAGGTGAGCAGAGGTGATGCTTGTCTTGGTCATCACTAGGATGTCAGGAGTGCTGGGAAACAGATTAGTGTGTGTGGAGGTTAAGATCATGGAGTTTGAGTCATATACACCTGAGTGCAAATCCTCACTCTGGCATTCACTGCTACCAAATCACATGGCCTCTCCGGTGTGTTTGCTCATCTGAAAAGGGGGGCTATTCACATATACCTCCAGGGTTGTGATGACGACATGAGAGGATTCTTTCATTCCATAGAGATTTATGGAGTGCCCGCTATGTTCAGGGCACTGAGCTAGATGCTGGATGTCCAGTGGGTCCAAACAGACCATAGCTCTACCCTCTGGGGGCACCCAGAAGCCCTGGCATGGGGCCTGGCATGCAGTGAGATTCATCAGAAGTAGCTCTTTATGATGACCGTCTTGGCAGTCTGCCATTCTCTTAATCATGAACCTGGAGAGAGCCCTTCCCTTTCTCCCTGAGGAAAATGGATCTGTTTCCTCAGTTGTAAACCAACAGAGTTGGATGGGTCAGTTCTCAACCTCCTCACCTCCAAAGCCTCTTGTCATATTTTCCCTCCATAAGAACCTTCCGTTACTAAGATATTGTGCCCCATATATCTGCACTGAGTCATTTCTTTTCATTAATTATAGCTCAGATGATAGCCATAAGAGCTTGTGATCAGGAGGAGCAAGGCAGTGTGACCACCAGGCTGTCGGTCTAATTCTTGCCCAAAGCAGAAAGCAAGGCAGCTCAGTTACCCTTCACATTCTATGTGCTGTTTCTCTGGGTCCTTCTGAAACCTTGAATGACCTTAAGGGAACCCCTATTGCTGTCAGGGACCCTTCAACCAAGGGTGCCAAACTGGAAGCCACTGAAATTCAGGTCCCTTCAAGTTCATCCAGCTAATGTAACTTCAAGCTGCATGTCCACCTCGCCCTCCTCAGAGCTGGGACAGCCTCCTCTAATGAGTGACCCTTGTCCTCTTCCCTCCAGGAATGGGACAGGAGTGAGGGAATGTGCCGTGTCCCCTGAGCAGTCAGAATCCTGGGGGCTCAGTCATCATTTGGGACCCCTCACTGGTGTATGTGCAGGCTTGAACTAAAGCCCTGTTAATGGTTTCCATAAAACCCAAATTCTGATGGAAAGTAGCATTCTGAAAGACATTTTTCATATTTTTTTTTTTTTGGTGTCCCTGGGCCCTTTCTTTAAGCAGATGTAGAGCGTTAGGTAACTGCGTTTGTTACTTTAGGAAACAAATGATCCAACAGAATGCAGGGTTCATTTTTAGCTTCTGAATTCCCAAAACTTAGCCTTCAGGGATGAGTGGAAAGAATTTCTGTGCAGAAACAAATTTAGAAAACTCTGTAACAAGGGGGATCTGGGGGCCTCCCTGGAGGCTCAAGGGGTTGAGCACCGCACTAGGAGGCAATCCACAGCCTCTGTGGCACCAGTTCTATCCCTGGCTCGGCAGGGAGCGGCCCACGTGGCGCAGCAGACCTCTCCTGACTCTCCCGCTGCTCCCCTCAGCAGTGTACTTTGCCTATTCTGTTCCCCACTCTGTCTCCGGTGAATCCTCTCACCCCCTGCATCTCTGGCCTATACCCCAGTTATTGTATGCATAAATAAACAAATCTTTAAAAAAACAAAAAACAAGGGGGATCTGGGAGCTAAGACTGGTCTTATTACAGGATAGGGAGAGGAGCACCCCAGAACCTCCAAACCTGCCTAATCTAAATAGGTTCTGTCATCCACCACATCGAGACAAAACATATGGACCTTTAATGGAAAGGAACTTTAATACCCTTAGTGTGCAATACAGAAAAGATAAAGAATGTAGTTTCCAAATCAAGCACCCAAAGTTACCCACCCCTCGAGGGTAGAAGCCCATGCAAACAGGACTGGCCCAAAGAAAGGCCCAAAATCCTGCTGTTAGTGATGTTATTTGAAGACTTGCTGTACTTGTGATTGCCCCAACCCTATAGGCTTTCCTACCTCAGGACCTTTGCACTGGCACTTTCCTTCCTTGGTTCTTTACTTTTTTTAAAAGATTTATTTATTTATGCATACAAGAGCTGGGGTACAGGCCAGAGGTGTGGGGGGTGAGAGGATTCACCAGAGACAGAGTGGGGAACAGAACAGGCAGACTGGCTGAAATACACTGCTGAGGGGAGCAGCGGGCGAGGCAGGAGAGGTCTGCTGTGCATGTGGGTTGCTCCCTGGCCGGTGATCGAACTAGTGCTGCAGAGGCTGCGGATAGCTTCATAGGTTGTGTCTTTTTTTTTTTTTTTCTTATTATTATTATTTTTTTTTTAAGTTTTTTTTTTTTTTTTAAATAGAGGCATGTTTTATTTATTTATTTGTTTGTTTGTTTTGTTTATACATGCACTGGGTACAGTCAGAAGTGCGGGAGGGAGAGAGAATTCACCAGAGCCAGAGCCGGGAGCAGAGCAGGCAGAAGGACCGAAGTACACTGCTGAGGGGAGCAGCGGGCGGCAGGAGAGGTCTGGCCGCCATGTGGGACCCTCCGCTGGTGGCCGGGGAGCAGCCGGGGATCGAACCAGCGCCGCAGAGGCCGGGGGCAGCCTCGCATCCCAGCGCTCAACCGCTGCGCCACCGGGGAGGCCCCATAGGTTGTGTCTTAACCCCTTGTGCCACCAGGGAAGCCCCCTTCCTTGGCTCTATAAATTTCACTTCTTCAGATCACACTTTCCAAAACAAAACAACCTCTACATTCTCTCTCAAAGTGACATTGGTAAATATATTTACTGTTTCTGTTTATTGGCAGTTTCCCCCTCTACACTGTTAGCTCCATGAAGGCAGGGCCCTTGCCCATTGTTGTGCTCCCTTGGTAACGCACTGTGACTGGAGTTACTTGTAGAATGAATGACAGGTGGCAGTTAGAGAATTCCTGACTTGCCACAGGCTGGTGGGCACTGAGTTCTTTTGGACCCTACCTGGGCCCAACAGCATTCCCCAGCAATCCAGGACCAGATGCCAAAAGATTTATAGCCTTGGGGCTAGAAGACTTAGCTGTGCTCCACCAGGGATTCAATATGTCTCACTGGGGCCTGCTTCCCTTCCCTTTTATCTATCCAGTTCCTTGCCTAAGAATGACAGAGGGCCCAGTGGGGTCTGGTGCGCAAGTTTATGGAATTTGTCCTGAGTTCCTCTTGCCGGTAATCCACACTAGCCCCATCACTTCCCTTCCTGGCCTAGTGGCTCTCCCTTGCTCTGCTAAGAATGTAGAAGCCTCTAGGATACCATTTCAAAGACTCAGAGCTAAACCTCCCCAGCTTTCCTAGGGTAAACTCCCAGTACAAGTCCTCTTCAAGTTTGGAAACATGTAGACTCATGGGAAATGTCTGCAAGAGAAGCTGCAGTGGGTGTGCCTTGCAGCAAGTATGTGAACATTTCCACAGTGAAGCCCTCCCTTCTGCCCTTAGACACTTAAGGCAGGTAGGACAGTCTCTAATGAAAGTTAAATGACCAGCTATACCCAAGACACCAGGAAATAATTGTCAGAGCCACTAAAGCCTGAAGAGCCACAGGCAGCTGGTCTGTGGATGTTTGATGAAGACAAACTCAGCAGGGCTGAGCTGCTTTTACTGAGGTGACTGTTAGCCTACAACAGGGCTGGTGTGGCTGCAGGGCAGCTACAACGACTTGGGTCCTAACCTCAAGAACCTCTTCTTTCCTGAGGACCCAATGATTCTCAGAATTGGAGCAGATTTCTTGCTATTGGATGAACTCCCACACTTGAGGGGAGGGCCCAGGATTACTCCAAAGTCTCCACCTCAGGAAACAGTGAGGAGCCTTAACAGCCTCTTCAACAGGGAATGTGAACAGAAAAGCCACTTGCCACCTGAACAGACTCTCCTACTACAATGTTCTAACTTTGCTGCATGTTGGGATTACCTGGGAAGCAAAAATCCTGATGCCCAAGTCATACCTGTACCAGTTAAATTCAAGTAGCCAAGCGTGGGATGGGTGATTCCAATGTGCAGCCAAGTGAGACCCGGCACCCTATGATGCAAAACCACCAGGGACCCCGCCATTCATCCCAGAAAGCATGCCACATGGACTTGCTTGTATCCCAGTTAAGGTTTTTGAGAAAATGAACACGACTGCAAAAGCAACAGGGACACATAAGAGGTGGCTCAGGCTGAGCACATTTAATAATTGTCATTAGGAAAGTGTTGAAAATTGACAGATTTTCTAAATCAGTAGATCAGATATTCAGATGCACTTGATCCAAGGGCAAGGGGGTGGGGGGGATTGTCATCTACGCCAAGGCCACAGACAGATAAATAGGATTCTGAGTCCCAGGGTGAGTCTGGGACGCAGACGCTATGAAAGGCAGCTGTGACAGGTGGTGTCTATCAAATACCAGTGTCCAGGCCAGTCCTGCACAACTTCCAGGTTCTAGGCAGAGCGGGGTAGCAGGCTGCTGGTTTAGTAGAACTCTGGAGGAACCTGAGTGGGGACTGGGGCTTGCTGGCGGGATAGGCTCACTTATACTTTTTGGAGAGAAATTCTCGCCGGCCCTGGCCCTGGCCACCAAAATTGCGCACACGATGGATGATCTGCAGCTGCTGCTCGATGGTGGCAGTGATGTTCACGTCATCTGGGATGTGGACGTAGCGGACATTACGGCCTGTCACAAAGAGGTCATCCAGCTCCACCTGATGCCCCCAACGGTCCGTGTAGGTGACGCCGGCCAGACGGATGTTCATGAAAGCGTCCACATTGTCTATGCGTCCACGGGCCACACTCTCATCCCGCAGGTCCACGGTGGTGACCTGGCCCTGGAGGCCCTGCAGCAGGATGATCAGGCTGTTCTCGGAGATGGTCCGCTCCTTCACCGAGTGGCTCACGGCCATCCTTCCACGCCACTGGCAGCACGCTATGACAGAAGCACAGATGGGAGCTGCAACAGGGGAGAGGGTACAGTTGCCAACTCACCTCTTTCAAGTTCTAGCACAAAATTCCCAGCACAGATTTCCCTAAGCCTGCCACCTCCCCCATTTTTGTGTCTGTGTGTCACCCTTAGGAGGCAGGTACTTTATGTACACATCCCACAGAATCCTCATACTATCTTGCAAAATAAGGATTATTTATACTCATTTCATAAATGAAGAAAATATGGTTAGGATAGGTTAAATTAACTTGCCCAAGGTCACACAGTTGGTAAGTGTACTTGCTGGGACTGAAACTCATGGCTGCCCAACTCCACCCCAGTGGTTCTGCACCCTCACCTTACTTCGGAATCACCCAGTGCATTTTCACCTGGCCACCACACCCCAGAGGTTCTGACTCATTTGGCCAGGGGTGGGGTGCAGGTACAATATTTTTTAAAAGCTTCCCAGGTAATTCTAATGTGTTTTCAAGTTTGAGAACCATTGCTCTAAAGTGTAGTTTACACTCTTGCTTCTCAAAGTCTGGTCTGTAAACCAGCATTTTCAGCATCATCCAGGTAGTTGTTAAAATACAGAATCTGTTCTCTGATCTCCTGAAGGAATCTGCATTTCAACATGACCCCTAGGTGAATCACCAGTTCGCAAAGGCTAATATGCATTGAAATCACCTGGAGAACTTGTTAAAACAGATTGCTGGATTCCCTTTCCAGTTTATAACTCGTTAAGTCTGAGGTGGGCTCCAAGAGTGTACATTTCTAAGATGTTCTCAGTTGATGCTTTGTTGCTAGTCACATTCTAGAATGACTGGTCTATATCAGACAGCTGCCACATTCAAGTAGCTTAGGCAATTATTAAAAAAACAAAGATTTTGAAAGTGGAGAAACCTCGGTTGGAATCCTTACTCCACCCACAAACTGTAAACTTAGTTAGTTAACGTCTTTGAACATGTTTCCACATCGATTAAACCATAGGCTAGAGTCTAACAGACTCTCACTTCATTGAATGTACTTTCCGTTGCTTTCAAGATGCCCTGATACTGTATTAACGTAACTCTGCCATATCTACCTCCTATTTTCAGGCCCCGAGAGGAAGGTGGTGGAACTTTCTCACTCAGAATCCCAACAGGGCTATGTAGAGTGGCATCAGGTGTGGGAAGCCAGACCCCATCACTGAAGGAGGTTGGAAGCTGGGCTCCAGCAAGAGCCTACTGGCTCCACCCGGATCCAGGCATCACCAGGTCTGTGTGATCAAGCGAGTGACTGATTGCAAAGAGGCAGGCCTAGGTTCCAGGTCCGGCCTTAGCTTCTTCATGTCTATTAGACCGTCTGTAAAATGGGGGTGGTGACAACCCTTTACTCACAGAGCAATCGCAGCGGGCTTGGGGCGATGAGCTACACTCGGCAAACCTGGAAGACAGCACTTCCCTGCTCCCGCCGGCTCGCGGGGTTGGGGCTCTTCCGCGCTCCGCCCACGCGCTTCCCGGACCCACCGCTCCGATTCCTTCCGCTTCCCCGATCCGCGTTGCGGCCGAAGCTGGCTGGAGCACTAGCCGGCTACCCGCCTCGGGCCACCCGGTAAGCGGTCATAGCAACCTCCGGGCCGCTCTGTCCTCCCCGGGCATAGAGAGCGCGTCAGTGCGCAGGCGCCGAACCGCCGCGGGAGGAGGCGGTGGTGGGGCGGAACTACAAGTACCAGAATGCCTTGCGGGACGCCGCGGCTCGCTTTCCCACAAGCCCTGGGCCCCCGTCATTGTTGTTGCCCCTTCATTTGGAGCCAGTCAGTCATTCGTCCATCATCCATCCATCCACTCCTGCATTCATTCATTCAGCATGCGTGGAGCCATCTCACTTGTTCAGGCCCTTTCCCAGACTTTGGATATAGAGTGATAACCAAGGAGAAAACTCCTTCATTTCAAAACTCAGGTCTTTGGGGAATGGGGATTTCCTATATGAAAACAAGAAAATTATGATAACAGTTCTTGAAAGAATTAAAATAGGGTGATGTGATAGTGACTGGATGACCTTCACAATGATGTCCTGAGATTGTGACATTTGAGCCAAGACGAATGGCATGAAACTTAATCTTGTGAAGGCTGGGAGAGGGATATTGTAATTAGAAGGAACAGTTTGCACCAAGAACAACGTGGAAATGAACTTGACAATGTGGAGAAACGGGAAGGTCCCTAAGACTGGGGAGAGCGGTGTGAGCTGAGGTCGGAGAGGAAAGGAAGAACCAGGGGATTTAGGACTTTGTAAGCAAAGGTAAGGAATTAGGAGTTTTTGGTTAGGAGTGCAGGTTTTGGAGATAGTGCCTGGAGTTAAGTCTGCTCCTCGCTAACTATATGACTTTAGACCTTAATTATCCTCTCTGTGCCTGGGTTTTATTTTACTAGAAGTGCAATGATGGACTATCAAAGGGGAGCATATTATCTGATTTACGTTTTTAAAATATGTAGCCTTGGAAAAGCTGCTTGTCTTCTGTTAGCGCCAGTTTGCTCAGTAGGAAAAAAAAAAAAGATAATGCCTATTTTCGAGACCTGTTGTCAGGTTTGAGTGACCTTCATTACCATATTAAAGCACCTGGTACATAAGAGAAGCTCCCTAAGAGTTAGGTTTTTTCATCCCTTCCCTCTTCCTTCACTGATTCCCATCTCTCCAGTTGTTTTTGTCTAGTTGTTTTTCCCTTGGAAAACATTGTTTAAAATACAAAACAATAATTCTTTTTTAAAAAAATCTTTTTATTTATGCATACAAGAAATGAGGTGTAGGTCAGAGGTGTGGGGGTTAAGAAGATTTACCAGAGATAGAGTGGGGAGCAGAACAGGTGGATCTACTGAAATACATTGCTGAGGGGAGCAGCGGGTAAGACAGGAGAGGTCTGCTGTGCCATGGGGTTAGCTCCTTGGCAGGCAATATCTTGATAGCACTGAGACTTTAACCCCTGCACCACCAGGGAGGCCCCTAATACAAACCTGAGGCCCCTTGCCGTACTCTCCAGTCAGACTCAGCCACTCGGCAACCCTAGATGAACCCTATGCTCTTGCCGCTGATTTTACAGTCCCATACCTCATGTTTATCTTTGGATGTTAAATCTAATATGTCTTTCAAAGCCTGGCACAATTGTTACACTTTTCTGAAGTCTTCACTGATTATCCCATTGGAAGTAATGTCTCTTCTCTGGCCGGTCCTATAGCATATTTCTCGTTACATGTTTGCTGTTGCATGCAGATTCACTGTAGTTATTTACATAAATCTTACTTCTCCTACTTGTATCCTGGGTGTTGGGACAGGGAGAAGACCTTAAGAGACCCAAATGCTTCCTACTCCAAACCACAGTCACAGGAGAAACACTAGTTTTGTAAGTGTGGTGAGGAGGGGATAGGGATCTGAATGAAGATAGTGGCGGTGGAATGGAAAGAAAGGGGGAATGTTAAAGATTCTGAAAAGAGCTAATGGGAATCTTTGGAAGCTAATCTGGGGTATAGGTAGGAGGAGGAGGAATCAATGATTTAAACAGAGATGGTGGTCACTGATAAGAGGGGAGGGTGGAGGTGGGGTGATGCCTCTCATATTTTACTAATAGGTCTTTGAATTCCTGTCTCCAAGTTTGGTAAAATCTAACATTCCATGATTTTTAGCAGAAGATGGGATTTTGTTTTCTGCTACTGATGATTTGAAGGCCAGGTTTTGTCTCTGGACCTTTGCAGCTAAGCAAGGGCTGGTGATCTAAATTCAGGTATTGGGGGACTTTAAATCTGGAGCGACACAAGCCAGCAGGGACCGTCTGGGCTCTGTCTTAGTGTCTGTCACCTACTTCACCTAGTACCCTGGTCCCAGGGGTTTTGCTGGTCCTGTCCTATGCTTCCTGCCTTTCCTTGGTTCCTGGCGATTTTTTCATGACATGGTTCTCCAGTCTTCCTGACAAGTCTGTCCTTTGTCTAATGCCCATTCAGAAACTCTTTCTCTATTAAATCAGCTAGAATTGGTTTCAATTTCTTGCAACCAACAACCCAGACTAGTACAGAGTCCCTTGAACTGAGTTCATTTCAGGAGACTTGAATTTCTCTGTTTTCTTTAGGTGAAGTCTGCTCTGGCTCTGTCTCCAGCTGTAAGAGAATCCTGACAGGGTGATTCCCAGGTCACCTACTCCCACTTACCACCCAGTGCCTAAGTCCCCTCTATAGCACCCCACACAGGCTCCCATAACCACTGCCCAAATGCCCAACCAACCCCAGGGCCCAGCAGCTTACTTCTTTCCCAGGTTATTGACTCTATTACTAGGAAATTTGGGGTAACTTCCACCCGTTGCTGCCAAGTCTTTCCTAAGTATTATATTTAATTTTAAAAGTTTCTTCATGCAGTTCGAAAGTGAAACAAATGCACTAAATAAATCAAAACTGCATCAGTGTTAGACACTAAGTGGGAGGTGATGTGGAACATTTCAGAGAAAGCGTAACTGCCATCCAGGTGCGGGGGACCAGGGAGATTTGCAAGTCAGTCCTCATGGTTGGAAGTAATAGCTTCTGAAAAAAGTGATGAAAAGCAACTTGTAGGGGAATGCAAACTAAGCTGGCAGGGCACGGAAACCATCTGGTCTCAGTGGTATGCGGTAAGGGGATAGGGTGAAGGTGAGAAGCAGAGTGAGAGTGACAGATGAGGTGAGGGTGAGGAATAAGGGGTAGGGGGAGACAGGGATGAAATAAGGATCATCTGGTAGGTGACCTGGCCATTTTGACAGACCTTTAATAATGACTACACCCACCTCTCTGTAACACACAGGGTCCTCTTTAATCAGAAACCACTGACGGAGAGAGGGGAAGTGTGGTCAGGTAATAGTCTGACCTGTGCCACCAAGGCCAGAGGGTGAAAGAGTTTAAGAAGAAAAGGGTGTTTAGTCTGCCAGGAGCTCTGAAAAGTCAAGAAGGGGGAGGAGAAAAGCTGTGGAGGCTAGCGAAGTGGGGCCTGACCTGTAGTGGTGGAGCAAGAGGTGTAAGGGAAGGCCACATGGAAAGGCAAGGAGGAAGCCTGGCAGGCTGGACAGGAACCTAGCAGCATCCAGAGGAGAATTAGGATGGAGAGAAGCTGCCTCAGGAGGGGGTGGGGTGGTGGGGTGTGTGTGTGTGTGTGTGTGTGTGTGTGTGTGTGTGTGCATGCGCGGTGGGGGCGGGGGAGCCACCTAGCTAGGAGGAGATCCTTAGTCATCCTTAGTCAGATAAACACCTGACATCAAGGTAGAGGGGTAGGTGCAACTGAGGAAAGGGGTAATAGATGAAAGATATGCTGGGTAGAGAGGAGCGTCAGGGAGAGTAACCAAACAAAGCATTAGCTTCTCCATGGTAACCAAAGCTGAGGTCATCAGGAAATCTAGACACCTGAATCAAATGACCTTGGCTGATGCCATGACTTCCCCATGGAAACCTGAGCAAACATTGGCCCCAAGGTTTCAAAAGATCTTCGGGGTTTTATAAGAGAAAGGAGGAGAGAATGATCCAAGGCACATGCGCGTGCCTGGGGTTTGGGAGTCCTGGCTTCTGCCCCCTGCTCCTCTGGGCCTGTGCTGCTATGTGTGTGCTCACATGGCGAGTGCAGCTGAAGTTTCATATTGTTTGGGGAATTAACAGGAGTTAATGCTATTTTGTCAGGAGGGCACCACTGGTGAGCAGGGAGTGTGTGTGTGTGGGGGTGTTAAGATAATCAGATAATCCAAAACGGTTCCCAGGGCCCTTGGTTTTTGCATTGGAAAAGGGGTGAGTTATGGTCTGAGAATTTACATCAAGTCACAAAGCGAGTGGGGACGGGGCAGCTGTGAAGGGACTGCCTTCTCCCCACCCCTTGTACGCACTCCCTTTAATATCCTCTGTCAGGTATCTGGCAAGTAAAAAGGCGTTATCTGGGACATAATTTAAAGGGGGTAAGGGGAAGGAAAAGATGATATCAGTTTTCAGATTTAATTTGGGTGTTTATGATTAGCTATCGGGGTCACTACATCTATTTTCTAAAACTTGCGTCTTTCTGTGGTTTCTTGTCTCTCATTGAATGTCAACTAGAGGGTGGTTCTTTCTCTTTTCTTAGAGATGAGGGAACTGAGACTTGGTGAGGATAACTGCCCAAGACGACAAGGTGAATTTGGGGCAGGGGTCCCAAGCTGTGCATCCCCTGAAGATGGGCTTTGTTGTATGACATGCTAGTACCCAAGGCCTGGCTTTAAATGTCCACTTATGGCGCTGTTTATGCCGGTCTGCGTTCTAGCCTCCTCCCGACTCTTTGCTTTCTTTGTCAGCTCTGAACCTCCATGCAAATAAACTTGTTTTTCTCAATATTTGTGCAAGTCTAGAGACATGAAACTCAAAGATTGCCTCATCACTAGGCTGCTTCACCAGAGATCTATATCTTGTTTATTTACGGAGAGGACAGATAGGTTTGAGATCATCAGAGTCGCCTGGGCTAGGTGGAGGGAGGAGCCTATTTGTCAGCTGCTCGTGGCCCACCTCCAAGGCCCTGGGACATGCTGGAGCAGACAGATAGCTACTACACATGCTGGACATGTGTAGCTATGTGGTGGGATCCAGACTCAGAACAGGACAGAACCTTCCCCTTCATCTGTCGCCCAATTGGGCCACCCTTGTTAGTGGCCAGC